GCGCATGAATCACTGTCACACGCTCAAGCTCAGAGCAATATTGTAAGTTACTGTATGATAATACATTTTTATAGCAGAATAATAATACATCACGATACACAGTCTCACTTTCAGTTACGTCTTATTATTTTTATAATATTTCGAAGGGCAAAAACATGAACTTTAACCAGTGGCGGATTTAGCAAATTGGGGGCCCAAAGCGAAGGTACGAATGGGGCCCCCTCCCCATCCCATCTTTATGAGAACGGAATTTTTTTTTTACCGACTGAATGGTAGGAAAAGCTAATCTACGGGGAAGTAAAGGTTGGAGAGGAGAAAAAAAACCTTCCCCAACATAGAACAAGGTTTCAGATAACACCTGTCTTTGCCAAAATGCCAGGAAACCCAGCACTGTTTATTATTTTTTTAAGATCAAATCAATATCAATATAACCAGCAAGACAAGTAGTTAGGGTAAACCCCCACAAACAGCCATATTAGCAAATATTGCCAAGATGAATAATTGACTTTGTATGAGTGAGTGAGGTTGCAATTGGCATTGCACATGAGATTGACATTTCAAACATTCTACAAGCAAACATTTTTATAGGTTTGTATTAGTTTATATATTTCATAATGTAATAATTTCACAGTTAATCTACAAATGAATGTAGAGACAACATAAAGACCGTATATTTTAAATACTTGTTTAATGGCATCTTTTTATGAATGAAGGTCAGTATCACTGATACTAATACAGCTGTTGATGTCTGGATAAAAATGATTTTTTTCCCTTCATTTTAAATATTAATTATAGCCAGCCATCCAACATTACAGTGTAATTGAAAGCCAAAAAAATTACATTTTGTTAGGCTTTAAAAAATATATAACAACTTTTAATTTACATGAACTTAAAACAATCATCAGATAAACCCATAATAAATGTCATATTTACTTTTGCCCTTTCAGTCTAACAGGATGTATAGACGTTATCCTCAACTAGCGTCACTCACAGCTGCTGCTGTAGCGGCATGTGTCCCCAACAGTAGGCGTAAAAAAGTTTGTCATTTTTGGCAGCGTTGCCAAATACATATCGGCGTCTTTAGTCTTTTTTTCTTTTATTTGAGCCGCTTGGGTAACTTTGTTTCATTTTCGCGTTTAGACTCGTCTTGCTTCATTGTGTACTTCCCAGTCCTTCTGTCATGTTTATCTTTCGCGTTTTCGCGCCGCGCACCCAAGGGGGTAATCCATCGACTGGAAGTTGAAGCCGGCCGGGTGCCGCCATGTTGTAGCAGAACTTCACTTGCTTTAGCATTTCCATTGACTCCCATTCATTTTGGCGTCACTTTGACAGCGAATAACTTTGCATCTGAGGCGTTTAAAGACTCCATTTGTCCATTATTTATTTCTTAAGAAACACGAAAATGTATAAAGGGCTCCATTACCTTCTATGTTACATTATGGCCCCGTAGAAACAGATTTTGTAAAAATAGGCTAACTATTGCGTCATAACCACTCGACTCTCTGTCGCGCTGTACAGAAATGACCGTACAGACAGGAGGAGAAGCTCGCAGGCAATCGGGGGGACGTCCCGTCAAGGGAGAAGCCCATAGATAATGAGTCCATAAAAGCAACGGAATACTTACTCCTGCTCACTCACGCCAAAGAACTCTTTGCTCAAGTTCTCCGTCTCTGCAAGATTAACGTTGGCAATTTGTCACGCACAGCTACTAGAAGATTAACGTCTGTCAGACAGGTTGCTCACGTCATCAAGCTTAGTTTGAGTCGGTTTGAGTCTGCGCGTCAGGAACGGAAGTGCTCAAAAATTGCTAAAAATGGGCTTCAACTGTCTCAACTGAGTTCCAATGAGATGGCTCTGTCCACTTCTTATACTGTCTATGCGCGCACCGTTACGGACTAGTCCATTTTATTGCGAAAGTGGGGGTGTTATGTGTAGGGACAGATAACCATGAACTGGACATTTTAACTACTACTTGTAGCAACATCGAGTTTTGCCTTAATTAGCTCAAAATTATTTATAGGGTATTTTAATAATTAATCATGAATATGATTAATATCTTGCATGTTACAGTTAAATTATCGAAATTGAAAATAGATTGATTGTATATGAATGATAAATCATAACGAATTATAATTCCTTATTCATATATCAATGGTCTCATTACAGATCGATTATATGAGATAACTTTAAGGGAATTAATTTAGTTATCAAACAATCGGTTTGTCCAGCAAACAGCCGTAAGATTAACTTACCAACTTCTCAACAAAGTTATCCCTTTTTATAAACTCCAAGAAATATCAATTTTCTGGCCGTGAACATTAATTTTCCTGTGTTTATAAAATTTAGGCTACTGAAATAGTAACAAATTGTAAAGCTGTGTAGCTTATAGATCAATCATTTCATTGACTTGTAATATAAGCTTTTTGACAGAAAGCAATCAAGAATATGGTTTTAATAATTGAAACTACAGATACAGAATTCTACATTTAAACCCGGGATACATATATGTACATTAAACAGTAAAACTGACGAGACAAACAAATAACATAGAGAGAGAGGAAGACAGAGAGAGAGCTGATCACGAAAGATTATGTGAGGTAGACAGAGAGGGAGAGAGAGAGAAAACTTGGAAAGATCATGAGTTTGGCAAAATTCATCACAGACACAGAACCTTTGAGACAACAAGAATCAACAGATCTTAAACCTTGAAAGCATGGTAAAACGGGTACTTGCACCGGTAAAGCTCTTTTGGGTGGCTGATGTGAAGAAGGCGTGTGTCTCTCTCGGTCATGTGAACGTCCTGCGTTCGGGTTCGTCCAGCACGCGCGAGCGCGGCGTGTTTGAATGTCCTTGGAGGTGAAGCTTGCCAGCTGAGTTCGGGCTGTGTTCATTTTCCTCGCGAGAAGAAATGACGATAGGCGATGTCCAGACGCACGAGGAGTCACATGATGAAGCATCGAAGAGAGCAGGAAGAGCCAGGGACCAGGAAGCGCGCGTCGAAGAAGAGAGCGCGTCGAGGCAGAGAGCGTTGGAAGAGCGAGTGCCGACATTTATCACCTTGGAGAAATCCAGCCTCTTCCTGTCGGCTTGGCCAATCGGAGAGTTGGAAGTCACAGGCAGGAATTTAGTTTTCATTACTCTTTGTCTTGTCAGGATAATTTTACGATGGTATAAAATTTTGTCATTTCTAACCAGAAATATGGTATACACAGAACACTACATTTCACTGTAATATCCTATGTATGACTTGTTTAGTCAAAACAAGACGGTCGAACAGTTACCAAGCATGGCAGGAGAAAAGTAGAAGGAACATAGTTACATTCACACATTTAAATGTTCACTTACACGACTATAAAGCCATAATACCGGCTACCATGACCTAGGAAATATCAAATTCATGTTTATGCATTTCTTACGTGGTTATACTTATAGACAATATAAGACTGCAGAGTCTATTCCTCTTTCTTCATCAGAATTCAAGTGGGAGCTGTGATTTCCCTTGGAATTCCTTTTGGGGAGTCATAAAGTTTTATGACCTAGCAAGAGGGAGAGTTACAGAAGGTGATCCTGTTGGGGAATCTTTCTTTAGAAATAAACTTAAGATTCGAAGTTACAGTCATTTTCAAATTACATCTATAGAATAAGACAAAACTAATTAGATATGCATGCATACAGGAAGGTCGGGTACAATTCTGTGTTATATACATTAAGGACATTTCTATCCTAAGTTATCCACAAAGACGTCTGTGTGCGGGTATGTGTGGTGTGCATCTGTCCATCCGTGGTGTGTGTGTGTGTGTTGGAATGTGTAATTGTCCTTCAGCGTTCAGGCAGCTTTGTGTAGTGGCTCACTCATTACACAATGTCCTGTTTGTGAGGTGATCAAATCAGGGGAGACCCCTAAGGGGCTGTTCTCTACGTGATCTTCGGCCAGACTCATGAGATGTCATCTTGAGTCACATGTCCTTTTGGTCACATGTCGTAAGCAAAGCATTTCTTTGTTTATTCATTAGAGAAAAACGCTGCATGTGCGAATCAGAGTCAATGATTTAATCAATTCAAAACACTATTCCTTTGTTTCACCGAATGGAAGAATGGAGGGGAAATTTACTAAATTAGAATCTAGTTAATTTACTCCAACATACCAGAGCTGGCTCAACTACCCATCTTATTATTGCTACATACTTCAACATTTCAACGTATTTCTTAAGAATATTAATAACATTTACTATGCTTTTGAAGCGTTCATGATGATAAGGGGCTTTTTCTTTTCTTTTATATATATTTTTTTGAGGTTGGTTGGGGGCCCCCCTACTATGACCGCTGGCTTTATGACTTTAACCATTGGCTTTACTTCTTCAAACAACTGTCACTTTAGCGCGAGGCCAGTAGCATATAGCATTAGCAAAGCCGGCCCCGCCCACTTTAGGCTTCAGAAACGCTCTTCAGAAACCTACGGGTGACGTCACTGACACTGCGTCCATATTTTTTTTACAGTCTATGGTTAACATGCGTTCATATGCGCGTGCACGAAATCTAACACACTTCCAGCAGAAACAACTGTTTTGAGTCGAGAGGCTGCAAACTGCGGAATGGATTTCCATTCCACAGTTTGCAGGCAGCTAGCAGACTAGCCGGCGGGAATCCCTTTTGGAGTCATTTCAGCAGACAACGTTAAAGCGCAGACATGGCTCATGGATATCGGATATCTCCGCAGGTTGGATCGGGAAAACCCGATACGTGAATTACGTTTGTATCAGTCCCGATACCGATACTGGATAGGATCGGCCCCAATCCTAAAACCATGTAAATACATTGCATTAAACCAAATACACTAAATAATGTTCTTTTTAAAACCATAATATGACCCCTTTAATTCATCCTTATTTCACCATCCCAATATCTCCTCTTTCATTCAGACACAGATGTTAGATAGATGTTTACCTGAACTCTTGTGTTTGTCACCTCAGTGAATGAGTCTTTTCTCTTTATTCTCTCAGAACCTACAACTGATCCATGCTATGATTATAACACACTTGATGAATATTGGAGAGATATACGGCAAAACCTATATCAGTATGGACATGATGACACCCTTGTTGAATGGAGTGGCTGGTATCGGCTGTATCTGAATGGAGAAAGTGCCCAGATGTCTGAGTGGTGTGTGAATTATGTGGGATGTGGTGGTTACACTGGACTGTATCTCAACGGTTCTCATCCAACACTTGAGGATGGAGTGGTGACCCGTGAAGTACTGGGAACTCATTCATGGTATTCCAGTCAGTGTGGCGCCTACAGTTCCTCATCCATCCGAGTCAAAGCCTGTCCAGGAGATTATTACGTCTATGAATTTGTCAAACCCGTCATATCGGCTCCAGGGCCGATGTACTGTGCAGGTACAATATTCAATCTTATCTTTAGGATTTTTTTTATGTCAGTAGGCTATAATAGAAAGTGTAAATGCTCTGACTTTTAGATAATTTAACATACATCTTTTTTTTTTAATGAAATAAGTATGTTTTAACATATCATGCAGTTCATCATCCATTCTGTATAGTAGGTTATGTTACAGATCAATAGCATCTAGATCTCTTAGTTACACAATTGCTCAAATCACACTTTAGGCGATTTGTTCATTAATATGTAAACTAAAAATGTATATGAAAACATTGTGATATTACTCCACAGTCCTCTTGTGCCTATCTGAAGTTAAGTTCCCTTTCGAAGGGAACTCAACAATACGTCATCGCCGTTATGGGGAACGCTTCAGGCGTGACAGGTGTCTGAAATCACTATCAAATCACGTCAATCACATTGACCGGCGACAGCCCGTGAATCATTAGCGTGAATGATTAACGTGCGACCTGGAAGTATATAAGGGCGCCTCGCAAACATGACAAATCATCTCATCGTCTTCAGGGACTGTTTTGTATGAAACGCTACTCAAGTTACGAGCAAAAAGAGAAAGGTAAGATGAAACGCACAGCAAAAGCAGATTGTTTTCGTAAGTGTGCCGACCCGTGTCCGAGATTTCTGACACCGGCTGACACACACGATCTGTGCGTTTTTTGTATGGGAGAAGAGCACGCACGGGAGGTTCTCGAGGGAACCCTCTGTGCGAATTGCAAGCGTTTTTCTCTTAAAACGCTCCGCTCTCGTCTGGCCCTCTTCTCGAGTGAAGGGGGCTCAGCATCTGTTCCTCATGGTGCAGGTCCCGCTCGTGCTGAGGCCGAGCGGCGACTTACATCATGGGGTTCTCAGATGGAGCTCGTTGATCGCCTTGAGAGGGCTGTAAACCTCTCAGATGATTCAACGGCTGACGAGGGCGAGCTGCAGGTCGATGAGGAAGATTTTTCACCGACTGTGCCTGCAGCTGAGGCTCTTCAGGACGCGCAGGAGATGGTTGAGGAGGTTTATGATCAGGAAGATCCTGAACCTCTTCAGCCATACTGCCCCGTGTATGCTGAGCTGGTGGAGGTTATGGAGCGCGCTGCTGGCAGGCTGCGGTGGCCTTGGCAGCGGTGCTAGAGGAGGGACCGCTCGCGGAAGGCTCGATGATCGGTTTCTCCCCGGCCGTACACTACCAGCTCGGGTGAGCCTTCCATTCCTTCCTGATCTGCACATGGAGATCGAGAAGGCATGGAAGAACCCATACTCTGTCCGTATTCACCAACATCAGCGGGCCAGTTTCGCTGATGTTGAGGGGATCAGAGAGCATGGGTACGTGTCAATGCCGCCCATTGACGAGACGTTTGCGAACTATCTCGTGTCTGGGCGGGCAGCGACACTGAAAGCTCCAACCCTGCCATCCAAGCTGCTGAAAACATCGGCTCGTTTGAATGGCAGAGCATACACGGCAGCAGGTCAGGCCGGTGCTGCACTCCATACCATGGCAGTGTTGCAGGCGTACCAGACTGACCTGCTGGGGGATCTCGACCAGGGGGCAGGGATGTCCCCTGAGGCGGTGGCTGAGCTGCGCCGCACCACAGATCTGGCTCTCCGGGCTACCAAGCAAACCGCTGCCGCGATCGGTCAGTCGATGGCGGCGATGGTGGCCACGGAGAGGCATCTTTGGTTAAACCTAGCTGACATCGGGGAGAAAGAAAAGACCTTTCTCCTCGATTCGCCAGTTTCGCCTTCCGAACTCTTTGGCACCTCTGTAGAAGAGGTGGTGGGGAAGTTCATGGAGGCGAAGGCGCGCTCAGCAGCATTTAGGACATGTATACCGGTGAGATCCGCGTCCGCACCCAGGCAGGCGGGAGAGCCTGGCCCTTCACGGTCTGAGGACCGTAGGCAGGGCCAGCGAGCCAGTGTCGCCTCTCGTGCGCCCCCTCCCTCGAGGAGCAGGTCGCAGAGGAGGCGTGACTCCCGCAACAGAAGAGATTTGAGGGAGGTTATCCAGAACAAACGCTCACAGCGTCGGTAGTGGATAACCTCCCCGGAGGGTCACGAAATCTGCCCTCTCTCTTCTGACCCCCAGGCGTTCATTACATCAGGCCTGGGGATGGGCCTATGATGAGATCTATGTTCTGATGGCCCACCTGGGCCTGGTTGGTGGAAACGCTCCTTTCAAGCATGTAAAGTGGCGGTTCCCAGGTTCATAAAGAACTGTCTGGCGAATCTTCGCCTTGCGCGCCGCAGGTGAGCTGCTGGTCTTCTCAAAGAGTATTTTTTGTGATTAAAAAATAACATATTTCTCTTTACAGACCTCGTTCCCTGTATAGAGTTATGGGGCCATGTCAAGGTAATAAGGTAAGAGAACTTTATTGGATTATCAGGGCCCTGAAGTTTCCCGGTAGGTGGCCAGAACGATAACTATGTTAGCCTTCGGGCTGTTAGCCACCTCAGGGTAGAGTAGTTGGTCTCTCTCTTAAAAATGTTTATTTAGAGTGTTGACTGATGCTAGAGCTTCAGATAGATCTTAAGTCCGGCCCACGGGACCGTTTGACTTTCCTGAGTATTTCGCCCTTTGAACTCTGTTTGGGTTTCATTAGGCTGAGCGATTCTGCAGCCTTTTGTATCGAATAATACAGATTTTATTCCTTATTAGGCTGTGGCTCCTCTGAGCCCTCAGATAGATGTATGCTTACAGGTTGGCCCTCACCAGGGCCGCCTCTGTAGCTGGCTTAGGCTGTGCCAGGGATATTAGAGGCGTTCTGCTAAAATTAGCATTTCTTCCTCTGACCCTTCACTTTGTGAATGTAGGTTTTTGGCATCCCTGTATAATCAGCCTCCTCCCATGGGAGTCGTTAGGCCAAGGCCCACCCCCTTCTCTGCATTCTGGGGTGACTAGAGTAATGCAGCGTGGTGCAGAGAATATTTTATAAGGACATGGTAGGCCTCAGTTAGGCCACCGTGGTATATAAGTCCTTTTGAGCAGGGTTAGGCCGTCTTTCGCTTCACGAAGAAGACTGAGTCTCCTGCCCGACCCTGCCGTGCAGAACTGGCCTACGGATTTAGGCCGCCAGTATGGGCTTCACTTACCTCGGTGAGCTACTGCTCGAGCGCCGGGTTGTAGGTGGGTGGCTTTCATTCAATCCCCACTCCCCTAGGTTGGGCACAGATACATTTCTGTCACCCCTAGAGCTGCTGGCAGGCCCGCCCCCTGGTAACCTCAGGGTGAGGTGTGAGTATTCCCCTGTGATTCAGGGTAGGTCTGAGTACTTCACTCCCAGTTCTGTTTATCCTACCTCGCACCATTATGGCTCGGGTCGAGTATGAGGTAAGCCTTCACTTCTTCTTTGGTCGAAGTACGCTCCCCTGTAGCCAGAGCATTGCCCTGAGCTGACGCCCATGCATAGATGGTAGGCCCCTGACTAACTGGGGCCTCCGTTGAGGCAGAGTGGCGTATGTTGTACTCCCCTTGTTTTTAAGCTCTCTTGCTAAGCTCTCTTGCTGAGTACACTGTCGTGGGCAATGTGATTAGGCACCAGGATGCTGTAGGCGCTGTGTAAACAGCTTATCTGCCAACGAAGGCTGCGCCATCAGGTAGTAGGCCTCAGCAGGCCTCCTTGTATGGGCAGCCCCCAATAGGGCGCTGTAGGCCACTTCTCGAGAGAAATAGTTGGCCTTGGTGGTTCGGGCAGTTGACTCACCGGTGGGTAGTAGGCCTTAAACAGGTCTCATCGGAGGTGAGTCCCAACGTTGTGGGACATACTTTATAGCTGCTGCAGGTAGCTAGCCGTACTAGGCCTCCTGTGGGTGGGCCCAATAGTTACGTTGGTGTAGTATGGTTCCCAACAGTGTTCCTTTGTAGGAATTGACTTGCTATTAGCTGGTAGGCCCAACCGGGCCTCCCTCAAAGGCGAGTCCCCAGCTGGTTGGCCTTAACAGGCCGCCTTGGAACTGTCACCTGAACTCTACAGCGTGGTTTTGCCTACCAGGGGGACCATATGCTCCCCTCATTGAGGGTCACTGTGAGCACGCGGACTCCTGAGTCTGGTCAGACGGTCGTAGGCCTCTCGTGAGGCCTCCCAGTTAGATCAGCCCTTAGGCCTTCACAGGCCTCCTCAGTGTTTGTAACACAAGCACTGGGTATATCCATGGATCGAGTAGAGAAACTCCCCTCGCTGGTAAGGGTTGGAAAGCACTTGCTGTGTCATACTCTCCGGGATATCCCGTCTCTGAGATCTGGGCTGAGTGGTTCACTGCCAGCTTCGCAGTCCCTCGGGTTGGATGCCTTACTTAAGGCAAGTGTCCAGAGGCTCTGTCTTCGGACAGACAGGAAGTGGCCAGACTAAGTGTCTATGCTCTGACGCCAGGTCAGGCCGTCCTGGTGGCACTTCGGGGTGAGTACGTTCCCCTGAATAGTGACTGGCTGGGGTTCCTTCGGGTTCCCTAGCCACATTCCCTAGAAGGGACCCCTTCTAATTGAAGTTGTGGTCCTAGGCCTTTGAGCAGGCCCAGGTAGGCCTTTTCATTTAACCATGTTTATGGAGGTTTTTCCTGTGAGGCTTATAGCTTAGGCTATGACCGTAGGGAATGCTGTCACTGACAGCCTAGTGTGACCTGACGGTGAGTGGTTCTAGCGTTTCATTTGAAATTGCTCGTTCTGACAGTTGTCACTGCCTTTGGGCATGCACTCCCCTCAGCATGGCGAAGTGGGTATTTCGTTCCCCATAACGTCGATGACGTATTGTTGAGTTCCCTTCGAAAGGGAACGTCTCAGGTTACGAATGTAACCTCTGTTCCCTGAGAACAGGGAACGAGACAATAGGTCTCCCTGCCATGCCTCGGGGCTTGCCTGCCGTACAGTCCCTTCAGACGATAAGGTGATTTGTCATGTTTGCAAGGCACTCTTATATACTTCCAGGTCGCACGTTAATCATTCACGCTAATGATTCACGGGCTGTCGCCGATCAATGTGATTGACGTGATTTGATAGTGATTTCAGACACCTGTCACGCCTGAGGCGTTCCCCATAACGCCGATGACGTATTGTCTCGTTCCCTGTTCTCAGGGAACAGAGGTTACATTCGTAACCTGAGACGTTTTTTTTCTCAGATTAAAACATAGTAGCACAGTTTTTGTCATATGTAGCCCCTCCTCAGGTGTTGCTCTGCCCCGTTCTACAGGGTTCTGTCAGACAGACTTGCCCCACTTTAGCCTGACAGTACACCACTGGTTAGAATATAATTGCTCGAAGTTATGTAATTAACCATCATAACTGGTCTTATGGTATAAAACTCTTATGCTCTTTAGGATGTAATACATTTTAACAGTACTTTTGCAAACTCCATGACAGTTGCTTTCCAAAGCATCAGCAGTGATCCCTGCTACAACTATGAGTCTCTGGATCGTCCCTGGAGAGCCAACAATGAAAGTGGAGATTACATTTGTGATAACCTGTTTTCCTGGAATGGCTGGTACCGGCTTTTCTACTATGGAATGGACATCCGGATGTCAGAGACCTGTATTAGTTCATACACCTGTAACACAGACCTCAGCCTGTGGCTCAATGATCCTCACCCTCAGATAGACGATGGAGTGGTGATCAGGGAGGTCTGTGGAGGGTCTTATTGGGGAAGCTGCTGTGATTACAAGTCTAAACCCATCAGAGTGAAAGCGTGTCCAGGCAATTACTATGTCTATGAACTTGTGAATCCACAAATATGGTGTACGGGATACTGCACAGGTACTGTGATTTTCTCATTTATTTAAGTATTTCAAACCATTTTGTAAATGATTTCTGTCATGACATGAATTTCCCTCTTTTTAGATGTCAGCACTATTTCACAGGCGGTTTCCACTGTGGGTCCAGATATATTCACTGGATCCACCATCAACTTGAGTAAGTTGTAAATAATATTAATATTTGAGTGTTATTAAAAATCATATATTTCTTTTCAATTAAAGGTTTGCATTACAGTTTAAATGGATTTTTTGGTGCATAAACATTTTCACTATTACACAGTTGCATTGTGTATGAATGGTTTATGAATCTCATTCTTACAGTGTTTGACTGGTTCAGATTTGCGCTTGTGAAGTTGCTCATTGAGATATAACTTGATTGTTTTGGTCTCATCATCTCTTACTCTAACAGATTATGATCCATGTAATAACTACAACACACTTGACAACTACTGGAGAAGCACACTCAATTACTGGTATAATTATGGATACATATCTGATCATGATGACACTCGTGTAGAATGGGACGGCTGGTATCGACTCTTCATTAATGGATCAAGTGCTCAGATGCCTGAGTGGTGTTTTTATTACATGTCATGTGGAGGTTTTAGTTCTCTGTGGCTTGGTGACCCTCATCCTCGGCTAGAAGATGGAGTTGTTACTCGTGAAGTTTACGGCTCCCGTGATGATCAGTGCAGTCGCTACAGATCCGACCCAATCCAAGTCCAAGCTTGTCCTGGAAATTATTATGTCTACAAATTTACCAGACCAACTCTTTCAATCCCAGATCCTGTATATTGTGCAGGTATATTCATTCATCTTTATATCTGACATGCTTGTCATGAATTGTATTGATTTTTTTCTTATTATTAATGTGAATATATTTAATCTGCAATGCTCTCTTTCTCCTTTTTCCTTAATAGTGCCTTTCTCCACCCCAAGTGTCGACCCCTGCTACAACTACCAGTCTGGATGAGCCTTGGAGATCCACAGACAACTATTACTATAATAACTATAACTACTATGGCATGTGTGATTATAATGTGGAGTGGAATGGCTGGTACAGGATGTTCTACAATGGTGAAAATACTCAGATGCCAGAATCATGTGTAAATCAGTACACGTGTGGCACTTATGAACCACTGTCGCTCAACGGCCCTCACCCACAGCTGGAAGATGGAGTGGTCACACGTCAGGTCTGTCTCTCCTTATGGGATGGCTGCTGTACTTACACATCCCACCCTATAAGAGTCAAAGCCTGTCCAGGAAATTACTATGTTTATGAGTTTGTCAAGCCAACATTTTGTGGAGCTTACTGTGTTGGTGAGCACTTACTCTTGATCTTCAGCCATTTACTTTTCTGGATTTAGTTTGAACTGAAATGAAGTGATTGTTGTTAACATAAAATATTCCTAATACCAGATGCCTCAAACCAGTCCATCTCATCAACAACAGAGACAATCCCATCCATAGAATCCATTACTCCACCAATCACAACCACTGGTAAAGTATTGTCTTGCTTCCTTCATAAACTCTCTTGAGCATATTTTTGGACATGTATTTTTATTAAGCATGATCTCTTGAAATGTTCCTGTTAATCATATTAAGTAAATTCATAGCTAAATTAATTTCTGCAGAACATATTTACAAACATCACATTAGTAAAAAGCAATACAGCTCACAGATGATTATGCAATTCAAACTCTCTATATTTGAATGTAAACAGAATGCATTTTTAGACAAAGTGAAGTACTGAAACTTTGTTAACAGTGAAATCTAAACCACCAGTGTTTCTCAAACTCAGTTCATAACCCCTGTTCGCATACCCCTACCATTGGAAAGAGGGAAATTACTGCATGTACAGACAGATATTTATACATGATCTGGATTCAATGATATCTTCTTTGCATCAATATCATTTACGCAAAGAACAACAATATACTATAAAACTGTATCAATGTGATGTATCCATCTGTTTCCAGGGGGCACTACTGTAAAAAATAAAGTGGGTGCAACTTCCGGTCAGGCGGCGGAAGTAGCATACCAATGGTATTTTGTGTGAGTTAGCGAAGAGGTTTTTCAGATAATGTTTTACTATTTAAACTAAGTCGCAAACCTTTATGAGAGATGTCGTTACGGAGCTCAGGGACAACATGTGCTGTTCGTGGTTGTACATAGGCCTATAACCAGACTAAACTAATTCAGTGGCAAATTTTAATATCTAACAATCTTGGACTAAAGATTTTAAGTGAAGGCTACTGTGAAGCAACATATTCAGAACATGAATGACACACAGTAAACATGTCATTGTATATATAATATAATATAGGCTATATTTCTCAGGTCTGTGAGGCAGTATAGACTATGCTGAGTTTCGGTTCATTTATGAGACGAGCTGCAGTTCAGGCGCCTCCGTGTCTTGATTATTGTCTGCTATATACTTATTATTTATTAAATGCAGGTAATTTGTTGATGAAACATTGATTAAAATTAAGATACAATTAATACAAAACGAAATTAACTTTAAATAAAGGCTTAGTGCTTTCAGTTTGAGGTCTCTGTGAAAGTTTTAAAGCAGTCTTTTAGTGCCGCCTTCAGGGAACTGTTACGTCCGTAACATTGTTTTTTCCTCATAAATGCTAACATGAAAAATAAAATAAAATAAAATAAATATTTTATGCCAACCCTTCTTCATCTGGTGGGTAGTATTACTTTAGGTTTGCGCAGTGTAATTCTCACATTTCACATAATTACTAAAAAAATATTTTGCCACATAAAAGTTAAAGTTTTTTTGTGTCACGTCCCTCATGTGTATTTCCCTCATATTAAATATAAAATGCATGTGTTATATTTTTATAATGTCTGGACTCCTTTATTAATGAAGTATGATATATAAAAAGAAGTTTCCATAGCCTATATTATAATGCATTTTCTGAGAATTTATATTTCAGGCTATGACTGCAAATGTCATGTCCATAACGCTGGAATTAGTTTTGTGGTGTAGGTCTACGTATTTTATGATGTTAACTTCAAATAATACTAATAGTAAAGATATGGTAGCTATATTGGATCTGGACGGGAAGGATATCTCTGGGAGTTGGAAGGGGTGTGTCGTGATTCTGCCTTCCCTCACCGCGACACAGGTTCGTGGATCATCTGAGTATCGCGATTTCGGTTTTATTTAACATGATTCTTTTTTATTATTATTTAGGAACAAACGAGGGTCTCTGTTTAAGAAACGCCGACTCGCAGCTGCAGGTTCCAGTCCAGAGCTCCGCAGCGCATATCTTCAAGTTTAGCCATAACTAAACTTAACTCATCGTGGAAAAACACGCTGTATTTTTGTATTTTCATTGCATTTTTAATTGATAAAAAGTTAAACAAATTAAATAGTACATTTTAAAATAAATATTAATGATTAATCGATAGTCGATTGAATGAATGACTGTCACGTCTCGCTTGTTTACTTCGAACCGGAAGACGCGCCCACTTTTGACGCAAGGTCCATGGGATGTAGGAAACTTGCGGATAAAAGGCTATCATATATATATATATATATATATATATATATATATATATATATATATATATTTGATAGCTTTTTACATTTATGCATTTGGAAGACACTTTTATCTTAGATTTTAACTAGATCAATTTACACTGATTCTTATATATATATATATATATATATATATATATATATATATATATATATAATAAGAATCAGAGTGTAATTTGATATCCTTTTATTCATTCATACAGTTTCATAGTATATTGTTGTTCTTTACCTTAATGTCACTTACTGTGGTATTTGGTGAGATTTTTGGACCCCCTGAAAAAACTTTTTTAATGGGGACAGTGTCAGTTCTAAAATTAAGACGTTTTAAAGTTGAAAGAACAAACAAAATTCTCATTTTCAATCAACAGTATGTGCAGAATACCACCACCAACACGTAAGAATAATGTTTTTGCATAGAAGTGGCAAAGAGTGTTCTGAAAGCACTGACTTATTGAAGTCAATGTGCTTGTAATACTTGTGCTCAATTAGCCTGACTTCGCCATACTCATATTCTAGTCAGAATGTGAGTCTGATACTGCTCCATATGGCTTTGATTATAAGGCGTGTCTTAACCGAACCAGGAAAAAAAAAACTCTGCACTCAATTGGATAGACCTACAACCAATGAGAGCAACGCAGTAAGTCAACTACTTTGCATAGCACAGTTGTCAACTACAGAACTCAAATGCATGCACGCTGGAAGAAGTAAAATAACGAGTGTTGCTTCTTTTACTTGGTCCTCCATGAGTGCGACCAAAGGAGAAACCACAACGACCACAGGGTTTTTATTGTGTCCCATCTTCTTAGTGACCATCGGAGCCAGCTGATAAATTAAACTTTTGCCGAATCCCGTAGGAAGGACGTCAAACACATCTTTCCGATCGACAAATGCCTTGATTGCAGTTCTCTGTTCGTCTATTAAAATGAATGCGCTGTCGATTTCTTTTACAACAGACGTGATAGCGGAATCTATACATCTCAGTTCTCCAGCTGCAGTGATCTCTGAGGGAAACCAGTTCAACGCTCTTTGATAACGTGATGATTACGTCCCTGCAGATCATCTGTCCATCATCGTATAAAGCCCGCCCTGGCAATTTGATTGGCAAACATTTTTTGACTGATCATAATTACTCCTCAATGGAGCGAGTCCAGACCGAACTTCCCGACCAAAAAATGTTGTGGGCGGGGTTCGGGCTGGCATCCAGGCTAGTGCTTAATTGCAAAGGGACTCAAATTTGGCTGTTTTTATCTCGTTAGATAAGATAAGATAAGATAAGATGTTCTGAAAGCTTACGACAAATTGTCTTCAGCTTCAACTTAAAATGCAAATGAAACAGTGAGCTTAAGTAAACAGTGTAAACTGTTTCATAACATAACCACTTCAAAAAATACACATCAAAAAACATTTATTTATTAATTCGTCAAAATATATATTTTTAATTTTTCCATGACAACAGCTCCCCCTGTTGACCCCTGCTACAACTACAATATCCTGGATGATTCATGGAGAGCCACCAACAATCAACATTCCTCTCAAATAATGTGTGACACTGCGGTCAGCTGGAACGGCTGGTACCGTCTCTTCATTCAGGGTCAGAGCGT